TGGGAAAAATCCGTAGCCACGAACAGTCGATCCAGCAAGGCTTTCATTCAGAATAGGAGAGAGTAAGAGCTTCCAGAAAAACAAAACTAAAGGAGTTCTTAATCACTAGACCAGCCCTTGCAAGAAATATTAAAGGGTACTTTGACTGCAAAGGAGAGTCCAAAAGTAACAAAAATAAGAAAGGATCAGAGAAAAATCTCTAAACAATGGCAGAACAAGTAATAAAATGGCAATAAATACATAGCTATTAATAACTGCTTTGAATGTAAATGGACTAAATACTCTAATCAAAAGACATAGAGTGTTAGAATGGATTAAAAAAACAAGACCCATATATGCTGCCTATTAAGAGATTCATTTGAGATCTAAAGATACCTGCAGGTTGAAAATGAGGGGATGGAGAAAATTAACATGCAAATGAATGTCAAAAGAAAGCCAGAGTAGTGATACTTATATCAAAAAAACTAGACTTTAAAACAAAGACTGTAACAAGAGACGAAGAAGGACACTGTACCATAATAAAGGGGATAATCCAACAAGATATAACAATTGAATAATCACAAATTAGCCCACAAAGAGCCATTAACAAATACAAGAAAACTAAAATCATCCAATGCACCTTTTTTGACCACAATGCTATGAAACTACAAGTCAACCACAAGAAAAAAATCTGGAAAGACCACAAATACAGGATGTTAAATAACATGCTATTAAACAATAATGGGTCAAGCAAGAAATCAAAAATGAAATTAAAAAACAAAACAAAACATGGAAACAAAAGTGAAAACACTATGGTTTAAAACCTTTGGGATGCAGCAAAAGCAGTCCTAAGATGGAACAGGCATACCTTAAGAAGCAAGAAAAATCTCAAGCTTTAACTTTTCACCCGAAGGAGCTAAAGAACAAAGGCTAAAGCCAGCAGAAGGAAGGAAATAATAAAGGTTAAAGCAGAAATAAATGATACAGAAACTAAAAACAGAACCAAACACATACACAAAAAAAACCAAAAAAACCTAACAGAACAGACTGATGAAACCAGGAGTTGGGGAAAATTAATAGGATTGATAAACCTCCAGCTAGACTTATCAAAAAAGAAGAGAAAGGACCCAAATAAATAAAATCACAAAGAGAGAAGAAATAACAACCAACACCACAGAAATACAAACGATTATAAGAGAGTATTATGAAAAACTATATGCGCAACAAATTGGACAACCTAGGAAAAAATGGATAAATTCCCAGACACATATAAATCACCAAAACAAAAACAGGAATAAATAGAAAAGTTGAAGAGACTGATAACCAGCAAAGAAACTGAATCAGTAATCAAAAGACTCATAACAACAAAAGTCCAGGATTAGATAGATGGCTTCACAGGCAAATTCTACCAACCATCCAAAGAAGAGTTAATACCTATTCTTCTCAAACTATTCTAAAAAACAGAAAAAGAAGGAAAACTTCCACTTTCATTCTATGAGGCCAATATTACCGATACCAAAACCAGATGAAGACACCGCTAAAAAGGAGTACTACAGGTCAATATCCCTGATGAACACAGATATGAAAATCCTAGCAAACTGAATCCAACAATACATTAAAAAAAATCATTCACCACAATCAAGTGGAATTTATTCCTGAGCCGCAAGTTTGGTTCAGTATTCATAAATCTATCAACATGACAGATCACATTAATAAAAGAAAGGATAAGAGCCATATGATCATTTCAATAGGTGCAGAAAAGATATTTGACAAAGTACAAAATCCATTCCTGATAAAAACCCTTAACAAATTAGGTTTAAAGGGAACACATCTCAACATACAATGACCATATATAAAAACCCCACAGCTAATATCATCCTCACTGGGGGAAAAACTGAGAGACTTTCCCTATGTTAAGGAACAAGAAGACAAGGATGTCTAGTCTCACTAACATAGTACTGGAAGTATCAGCCATGGCAAGGAGACAACAACAAAAAATAAAAGGCATCCAAATCAGCAAGGAAGTAGTAAAACTGTCCCTATTTGCAGAAGATGGGACTCCACCAAAAAACTGCTAGAACTGATGCATGAATTAAGTAAAGTCTCAGGATACAAAATCATCATACAACCATCTGTTGTATTTCTATATACCAATAATGAAGCAGCAGAAGGAGAAATTAAGGAATCAATGTCATTTACAACTGCACCAAAAATGATAAGATACTTCGGAATAAACCTAACCGAAGAGGTGAAAGACCTGTACTCTGAAGAATGTAAAGCACTAATGAAAAAACTTAGGATGGCACAAAGAAATGGAAATATATTCCATGCCCATGGACTGGAAGAACAAATATTGTTAAAATGTTTTATTACCCAAAGCAATCTACACATTTAATGCAATCCCTATCAAAATATCAACAGCGTTCTCTGGAGAGCTAGAACAATCAATCATAAAACTAATATAGGACTACAAGAGACCCTGAATAGCCAAAGCAACCTTGAAACAGAAAAGCAAAGCTGGAGGCATCACAATTCTGGACTTCAAGTTGTATTACAAAGCTGTAATAATCAAAGCAGTATGGTACTGGCACAAAAACAGACACAAAGAACAATGGAACAGAATAGAAAACCCAAAAATGTATCCACAATCATATGTCAACTGATGTTCAACAAAGCAGGAAAGACCATCCAATGGGAAAAAGACTGCCTCTTCAACAAACTGTGTTGGGAAAACTGGACAGCAACATGCAAAAGAATGAAACCAGACCACTAGCTTATACCATACACAAAAATAAATTCAAAATGAAAGACCTAAATGTGAGACCTGAAACTACAAAAATCCTAGAAGAGAACACAGGCAGTAACTCTTTGACATTGGCTGTAGCAACTTCCTTCTGCATATGTCTCCTAACACAAAGGAAACAAAAGCAAAAGTAAAGTTTTGGGTCTTCATCAAAATAAAAAGCTTCTGAAAGCAAATGAAACAATCCACAAAACTAAAAGGCAACCTACAGAATGGGAGAAGATATCTGCAAATGATATATCCAGTAAGAGGTTAATATCCAAAATATATGAAGAGCTTATAAATTTAAGAACTTATAAATTTAAAAATGGGCAGAAGACACATTTTTCTAAAGACATCCAGATGGCCAACAGACCAATTAAAAGATGCTCAACATCACTCATTATCAGGGAAATTCAAATCAAAACTGAAATGAGGTATCACCTCACATTTGTCAGAATGGCTAAAATCAACAACATAAGAAACAAGAGGTGCTGGTGAAGATGTGGAGAAACAGGAACTCTCTTGCACTGTTGGTGGGAATACAAACTGGTAGAGCCACTTTAGAAAACAGTATGGAAGTTCCTCAAAAAGTTAAAAATAGAAAATACAAAAATACTGACTCAAAGGAATACATGCACCCTGATGTTTATGGCAGCATTATCAAGAATAGTCAATTTAAGAAAATAGCCCAAGTGTCCATCGACGGATGAATGGGTAATGGAGTTGTGATATATACAGAATGGAATATTACTCGGCCAAAAAAGAAAAAAATCCTGCCATTTGCAGTGACATGAATGGGGCCAGAGAATACTATGCTAAGTGAAAAAAACAAATATCGTATGATTTCACTTATATGTGGAATTTAAGAAACAAAACAAATGAGCAAAGAGAGAAAAAAAAAAACAACAGAGAGAGGCAAATCAAGAAACAGAGTCTTAACTATGGAGAATAAGCTGGCTACCAGAAGGGAAGTAGATGGGGGGATGGGTTAAATGGATGATGAGAATAAAGGAGGGCACTTGTGTTGAGCACCAGGTGATATATGGAATTGCTGAATCATCATGTTGTAGACCTGAAACTAATATTACACTGTATGCTAACTAACAAAAATTTAAATAACAACTTGGGGGAATAAAAGAAATATCAGATTCTATACATATTTGGCCTAGTAATGGCCCTGCTGGTAATATTTTATAAAACAAGTATAATATTGGGGTGCCTCGGTGGCTCAATTGGTTAAACGTCTGCCTTCAGCTTGGATCATGATCCCAGGGTCCAGGGACTGAGCCCCAGGTTGGGCTCCCTGCTCAGCGAGGAGCCTGCTTCTCCCTCTCTCTCTGCCATTCCCCCAGTTTGTACTCTCTGTCAGATAAATAAATAAAATCTTAAAAAGAAAAAAAAAAGTATAATATCACATACTCTCTCTTTCCTTCTGTCTGTATATGTGTATATATGTATGTATATATACATGCACATATTCACACACATAGGCGTATGCATAAACTTACATATTATATACATAGATGTAAGTGGCATGAACATCAATACTTTTCAGAAAAACCTCCCGATGTCCTTCAGGATTGAGAACTACTGGATTTGAGATTTTCTGGCATTTTTGCATTGATTCTCAAACTTTAAGAAATCACCATTATAGGGGAACCTGGGTGGCTCAATTGTTTGGGCATCTGACTTCAGCTCGGGTCATGATCTTGGGGTCCTGGGATCAAGTCTCATGTTGGGCTCCTGCTCAGTGGAGAGTCTGCTTCTTCCCCCTCTCCCCACACCACTTATGGGCACATTCTCTCTTTCTAATAAATACATAAATCTTCTTTAAAAAAAAAAATCACCTTACAAAATCTTACAAAAATCTTACAAAAGAACATTGTAACATTAACATTTTTTTTCTCTTTCTGTGCTATCATGTTAAAAAATAAATATCTGAATACAGGGAATTAAGTTAGAAAAAAAATCCAATATTTTCTTCTTTTTTATCTTATTATTTTATTTATATATTCTAACTAGTTCAAGATACTTTGATGCCTTATTGATTTAAAAAAATCTAATTTCCATATTATCTTCACTGTCTGCTATTTCATAATATGCTCAAGAGCCATCTATAAAGAGTATAAATTAATTCTTCAATATTTTAAGTTATTTGGAGTTTTTCTTTGATGATAGCTTTCTAGATACAACAAGTTGAGGAGATTTTTCAGCTGTTTAAGACCTAATTACTTACTTTGTCTGCAGCTGCCAACAAGTTGTCAGCCATTTTGTCAAGGTTTGGTGCTTTCCCTGTGTAAATGAATCTCATCATTTCTTTAAAAACCTCAGGGTCTACATCATTTATTTCCACTCGATTCTGATATTGAAAACAACATTAAAAAGTTACACTCAAAGAACAGACACACGCACAAATGAACCAAAGCAAAACTTTGATAATAATTTAACTAAATCTGCACCCAAGTGCTCTATTTTAAACTCTACTTTGAAATGGAGATAAGTAAATCTTCAGCAAGCTAAGCAGGCAAAGTGAAGCAAGCAGGTCTAACAGAAGCACACCCAGACAAGTACTACCATGTAGGTACATAAAACCTCAATTTTTCAATTAAAAAAGAGTAAAAAAACAAACAAAAGCCTTTAGGCCAAACAAAATATGTGTGTTCAGTTTTTAACCTCTCTCTTAGAAGAAGATAGCTATTAATTTTTTCTTTGTTGAATTCCAAGGTCGTAGCACAATGCCTATGACCCCAAAACCAATGGTGCTATTCCCTAGCACTAAGCAAAAGCAGGGTCAGGTATTTCATATAATTCCACAGCCACTACCTTGGAACTTTCCCTTTTGCAAAAATGACATGTCATACTATCTATGGGCATATCACCTCTTTGCTCAAAACATACTCAAGTCCAATGAGCAGTAATCCCCCACCTCCCCCGCCCCTTTTTTGAGCAGTAATCCCTTTTTTATTCCTACATCTTTGTATCTGATTTCTCTCAAGGGATCAATGAAGCTAAACATCCAACACTAAACCATACCAGACTTTTCTGACCCTTTGCTGACAATAATATTTGACATTATTCATGTTTCCTTGTGTGGAAGTCATCAGAAAGCTGATCATAGTATCTGGCAGAACAACAATCCAAGGAAAGAAAGCAGCTATTTGCTGCAGCCTTTAGTTCTACAGAAAAAATGAAGGAGAGCCATATAAATCAACTTTGGAGTTATCTAGTTAGAGCATGAAGGCTGCTATGTAATGTAACCAGCAAAGAATCAATTTCTGATCTTTGATCTGACTACATTTTAAGACAACAGTGAAGGACAAACATTCGGGAAAACCAAAGAGATACTGGTTACCGTAGACATACAGTAACACTGATGTAATTTATGTCATTTTAAAAAAAATCTAATAAATATCTTATTTTAGTGGTAAAAAGAATGCAGAATTCCAAGATCAACGGATAGTTTAGAAAAGAATAAACATCTTAATCAGAGAACTCTCAAATAGCTATGGAGCAGAACCACTCTTTCGGATAAGAACTACCCACTTATTTTGCCACCAGATGGACATCAAAATAGCTATTATTTGGAATATTCACCCACATTAGGCTACATCTATTGTTCTACTACAGAACATTTTTTTTCCCTATTTTTTCCCTATTCCTCTATTTCTAAAATCATAATGTAAGAATGAGAACATGAACCGTTACTTTCAAAACATACATTTCACTATTCTACATTAGCATAAATTAAATATTAGCCTTTAAACTATGTTTACCTTTTTGCTTTCTTCCATTTCATGTTCAAACATTGCATTAAAAACTGGGGATCGAGCTGTAACAAGATTAAGCATCATTATTTAATGCACAGATGTATGGAAAAAATGTACAATATTGCCCAAAAGTTGAAAGTACCTGCAAGTACAGATTTATGAGCTTTAAATTCTTGTCCTCTCACAAAAAAACTGCAATCTGTAAATCTTGTATTTTCCCAGAGATTACCTAAATCTTCTGCTAGTCGACATTCAGGCACCTTCAAAGTATTTGTATTAGTATGTCCTGATATATTTACTGAATCTTGGACCACACTCACCTAATAAAAAAAGGACAGCAAGAAAAACACTTTTATAAATTAGTATCAGTAATTAAGTCTATACTTAGATTTCTTATCATTAAAATCATCTGGATAATTCAAAGTACTCCTGATCATAAATGTTAATACTGGGAACTAAATTTAAGGATACAATTTAAAGGAGAGACTAGAAAAAGATCAGAAACACTAGATCATTTTCAAGTGACATTTTATGTAAATAGATGACTTATCGATTGGTTGGAATGCTTGGTCATTAAATTAATCACAAAAACTATTTCTCAGGAAAATAAAAGTCATAAGATAAGGGCGAACTGAACAAGCAGGAGACATTTCTGAGAGATGAAGGAAGAAATTTCTTTAATTTTTCTCACTTACACCAAAGACCTATCAACATTTAAAGTTTATTATACATGTAATAAACATGGCATCACACTCAAAAGGACTTTTTAGAGTATTAAAAAAGGTTATACAACTACAGTGTATGACATGCAATTTCTGAAGTATTTTAAGTGTAATTCCTACATGTTTTGACTCTAGTAAAATTGATTTAAATATCTAGTAATAATGATTTAAATTGTAAAGTACAAGAATTCTCACAAAAGCAATTGTGCTCATTAAAATTCATGGAAATCTTTTAATATAATCAACAGTAAGAATAATACAAATACAATTTAGTTCAATCTGTAGACCTGTTTATCTATGAAATAATAAATGAAAATTAGTATGATTAAAACACTGCTTTTATAAAGATTTCAATATAATTGGATTAAATTTATCTCATTAAAGATGACGATATACCGAAAAATCTTAAAAGACCATTGATTCTGGTGCATGTCTTTTTAGAAAAAGTATGTTACTAATATTAGAAAGTTCATATTACATTTAATAAGTGGAAGAAAATATCAGTCAATTAGTAAAGCAAATATTTCAGAGTAAATGAACCATTAGTGCATTAGTGCTACGTGTTAGTTATCTACTGTTTTAAGCTTCTAAATTTTGTGGTCATTTGTTAGCTAACACAGAACATGTAATATTGGCCCAGTATAAAATGTCTGAAGAATATTAAATTTCAGGAAGTCCTCCTTCATCCTGATGTATAAAAACATGTATCACATGTGAATACATAGATACTTCTAGAGAAAAATTTTATTTTTCTGAGGATATTTTCATTAGCCATTTTGTTTTTACAACTTGTATTATTAACTATTTGGAATCCTGTATGTCATAGAAATCATCTTATTTAATCACCTTGTTTTATAGAAAGACTTCAAAGGAAGATCAAAGAAGGTAACTAATGTGTCAATCACACTAGCAATCAGTATCAAAGGAAGACTAGAGACTATAATTCTCAAGATACTTTTGTTTTTAGACCATTCTTTGTACTACACAAATACTTCTTTGGATATCTTTTAAAATCAGTAGTGCTACTTTAATGCAACTATGGTTCAAAAAGGATTTATTGCAAAAACACTGTGAGATGATTTTCTACATATAGGAGCCAAGATATTGTGTATGTACGTACATATATAAATACATGAAATCCAACAGTAAAGGTTCTTTATTCTGTTAACTTCTAAATTGTTTCTAAAATGACTACAAAAAAGAAAAAAAGAACTTCACTAATCCCTACCTAATTATCCTGTTTTGCCACCCACTATAACTTAGCGGTACTTAAAAAATGCTGGTGTTGATACTCAGGGTTTAGTTAGAGATCACTTTTTTTTTTTTTTTTTAAAGATTTTATTTATTTGACAGAGAGAGAGAGAGAGATCACAAGTAGGCAGGCAGAGAGAGAGAGAGAGGGAAGCAGGCTCCCCGCTGAGCAGAGAGCCCGATGTGGGGCTCGATCCCAGGACCCTGAGATCATGACCTGAGCCGAAGGCAGAGGCTTTAACCCACTGAGCCACCCAGGTACCCCTAGAGATCACTTTTTTATCACATAAACAATATTTACTTCTTCCTATCAAGCTCTGCTCTTAAAAATTTCTAGACAGTAGAAGTGGACTAGTTCAATTACTTGCATAAAGTATGCAGTCAAGTCATAAAAATGTGACAACATAATTTAGGAAAGGATTTTTAAAATTTTATTTATTGTCTATTATCCTAACTCAAAATAATATATTAAATATAAAAATTTGGCCAAAATCAGGTGACAGAAAAAATAAAATGAAAAAATAAAGCTATTTTTATGAGGCACAGATATTGATAATGTTTTATTTTTTATAAGTGATCATAATTCAGAAGTTGTATTATTAACATTCACCTACACAGTATCATCATGGTGACCACAAATTTTAACTAAGACTTAATTAAGATTTCATACTTCAAGGCATATTCAAGGTATATTCAAATTTTGCCACTCTGAATCAACTATCTAACGATCCCTCACAGTGGCTCCACAGCGAGAAACTTTCGATAGTCCAATTTCACATATTCAAGGTATATTCAAGGTATATTATGCAGCAAAAATTAACAACCTATTAACAGAATTAACAGAATAAAATCTGATTATTTTCTTGATACCTATTATTAAGAAATTGGTAACATTTAGTTTTCTCTAGCACATTTCAAACACAGGTAATGAACATTCTTACTGAATGGAACCTAGAGTAAAAAATTCAGAAAAAAGTCTGAGATTCTTTTCTATGGCTAAATTGTTCTTTCAAAATAAAAATGCAAACTTATAATATTCAAAACTGACAAATGCTGCAAAGCAAAACATGAAACACATCTGAAAACTCCTTCAAATTTGGTTTTAGCTCAATTGTGAGAATTAGGATTTAGACTAAAGATGAACATGTACAAATTCTAATCAACTGTGACTACCCTAGAAACCTGGGTCTCCCATAGTGTCAACTGAAGGACTTATGTTTCCAGTTTTAAAAAATCTCAATTCTCCAAACTAGTTTTAAAAGCTAGGAATTTACAATGGTTCTTCATAGTACAAATTTTGCCACTCTTAATCAACTATCTAATGATCCCTCACAGTGGCTCCACAGTAAGAAACTTTCGATAGTCCAATTTCACATTTTCTAAAATAGCCGATCTTAGACTTTCTGTCCTAGATAGGTATCCTTCTTAAAAATTTGGTTGACAGAAACAAGGCTGTCATTTTGTCATAAAAGGGCTTTTATTTTTTTTAATTTTAATTTTTTTTAAGATTTTATTTATTTATTTGACAGACAAGAGATCACAGGTAGGCAGAGAGGCAGGCAGAGAGAGAGGGGAAAGCAAGCTCCTTGCTGAGCAGAGAGCACGATTCAGGGCTTGATCCCAGGACCCGGGGATCATGACCTGAGCCGAAGGCAGAGGCTTTAACCCACTGAGCCACCCAGGTGCCCCCATAAAAGGGCTTTTTAAAGAATAAAACCTAACTTCCATCCATTATCACAAATATTTTAAAACAGAAGTGATAACTTAGCAACAAAAAGGATGGGAAAAACGGTGTATCCTTCTAAATGAATTAACTTCAAGAAAAACTCAATACATACATATATTCTATCTGTATATACATAATCTTCTGCAATCATGGAATACTATGGGTCTATAAACTATGAAGTTTAAAATCTATTGGACTGGGTGCCTAGGTGGCTCAGTGGGTTAAGCCTCTGCCTTCAGCTCAGGTCATGATCTCGGGGTCCTGGGATCAAGCCCTGCATCAGGCTCTCTGCTCAGCAGGGAGCCTGCTTCCCCCTCTCTCTCTGCCTGCCTCTCTGCCTACTTCTGATCTCTCTCTCTGTCAAATAAATAAAATCTTAAAAAAAAAATCTATTGGATTTAAAAAGATGGGACTAATCTAAACAGTTTTCTATTTTCAAACATATTCCTCAAGTCTTGTTTTCTGCATCATTTTGGGAAGGAGAGAAGGGGCAGAGATCTTTACACTGCTAGAAATATCTACCTCTGGCTACTTGATTCATGATATGGAAGTTGCAAGATGAAGTTAGGTCTTGCAGAAAAAGGGTAGCACCAAACTGCCTTACCTGTCTACAGCACCACTTGCAGGGGAGGGGGAGGAGGCAGTTCTTTAGGTAGGGCAGTGCAATGCTTCCTCCTCTTCTGCAAGCAGTGCTGAAGGTGCTGTAGAAGGAAGGGCATCAATGAGAGGTATGGAAGAAATGGTGGAGGGCATGAGGAATGTTTGTTCAAATTACTTTTTGCCCACCGATGTTAAATACAGTGCCCAGAGTATAAGTCTACATCAGTAAAAAGGTACATATTACAACTATCCAAAACTGAATCTGACCAATGCCAACTTACAAGTCATGGTGGGTTATATTTTTAGGAGTTCACTAGTAGGTGGATTAAAAAACATACTTCAAAAGTATATATTGAAAAAAGATCTTAATTTCAGCCTTCATTCTGAATTTCTTGGTTGACTAGGTTCCAATATAATATGCTTAGGAAAATATCTGTTAACACTATTTGAATTCTAACAACAACAACAAAAAGAAATTATTTTCTTAAAAGAGTTTATTTACATAAAGACTTTTAACTGCAATAAATTTTTGAAACTGGATTACATAACTTTTTAAGGTCCTTTAAATTCAAAGATTATATGACTTAAAAAATTTAACATGTTGGAATTTAAGATAACTGCTAAAATTCTGGAAGAGTCTACATTAAGGATGCTAAAATTTTAAAATAATATAACCTGTATTTATTTAAAATATTACTCTGAATATATGTCTATTGGCAACAAATGCTTTAGTATTTGTTTTACAAATTATTTAATGATAAACTCTGCTGAAGACACTAGTGGTATGTGCTTTACCAACCAAATAATTATATTCATAACAAATTCATCCTACAGTTCATTTAACTTGCCTAAGTGAAAATAAGATGCACTGTATTTGCATTATGTAGTCTCTAGAGCCACATTTCAATTATTTTTCTGACACAGCATAAAATCATACAATTAGTTTATAATGTTGCCAAGAAATTCTACATATTCCTACAATGAGATTAAGGCTAATTTTGTAGCTGTTAAAGTAAGTTACCATACTTCCAAGACACTCATTGGTCTGAAATATATTTAACACTGAGTTTACTTGATCATAACTTTTCAATCAGTTTTCCTATGAAAATTATCAACTACCTTAAACATTTTGATAAAACTATGTATATTCTCTATAAACTGTATTGGTAACATAACATAATCCTTGAATTCACTCCAAAGAGGAATCTCAACAATTTGTATGAGTAAAACCATGTAATGGCAACAATGACAAAAGCAAATTCCAGCCTCAAATTAAGACAAATCATAGGTGTAAATTATTACAGGGGCTATGCTGGTAACTATTAAAATATGACATTTTATACAAATAAATATACCTCGCAAGTTTGTGAACAGACACAGGCAAATTTTAAAAATTTGGGATGCTATTCCTTATAATGCTAACATCTATTTAATTAAATGAATCCAAATGTCTGAATAAACAAAAAGCTTCCCAATCTTTTCAGGCACTTTCATTATGTATGTATCTATTTCAGTATGTATTCAAATTGATATACTACTCATCATGTTTAATATGGTCGACCTGAAAATGACAAAAAAATGATGAACATCTATGTTAGAATTATTCAGAATGAAGAACATACTTACACATTTTCATAAAAAGATATACATATCCATAGTCTTCCTAGGAGGAAGAAGTATTTAGTATGTGGTAGTATAACTACCATATATAATTTATAGCTATACACATGACAGTTTTTTCAGGATGAGCTACTTACTACACTGATTTCTGAAACAATCTAGTCTTACTGGTAAAACACTTACAAATGAAACCTTATCAATTATACCAATTACTTAATTTTAAAAATATACCCTTAAATTTAAAAAAGTATACCCAATATTGTTCTACTTTCTATTTTTGTTTATCATGAGATATAACTTTGGAGTTCCTTGAAATAAAAAATATACCCACCTCACAAAATAATGTAAGCTTGTCGTCTGGTAAAAGACCATTAGCTTCATCAAGCAAAAAATCTCTTCGAATGAATTTTTTAAAACCCCAGTCTTTCCCTTGTACAAACCGATATGCTCTTTGGCTTTCTGGTGGAAAACAGAATAGAAGTTTAAATAAAAAAAATCATCTAATTGATAACAGTTAAATGAATGCACAAAAATAAAACTTGGCCAATATATCCATTATAAGAATTATAGATGTATGTGTTTATAAATGAAATGTCTTAAGAGTTATATCACATAGGACAAGATTGTTTCACAGCAGTATTCAAATTCTAGCCACCATCAATCAGCTCACATTCAGATTTCTGCATCTCTAAGTGGAAGAAAAGCCATATCAAAACTCTTGGAGAAGGAAGACATCTCTCTAACAGTGTGGGCCCTTGAATAATGGAGGAGGAACAAAATACACTGGCATAGTCATATTCCTCCTCATCAAAACCTGATTATAGACACATACCCCTCATTCTTGCTTCTCCCTCTAAAAATGGATGCTCTGTATCACCAGGGCATCCTTTAACATTCCTGGGGCATCTATCCCACTAATTTAAGTTTTACTCAACTAGAGAAAGATCCATCAAACAAAACAAAGTCTCTTATCACTCCTAGATCTATCCCCTCATCCCTAAAAACAACTTTCATGAAATCTAAAAGATGATTTTAGTACAATTTTTAAAAGACAACAAATAATGTCTGAGGTAGATGTTTCAAATGCCTAGCATACTACAGAATTGTGTATTATAAAATAAACAAGATCCTCAGTAGAAAGTATTTACAATCTGTTACAGAAAGTACTAACTAGAGGTGAAAAACAAGTAATAAATCTAATAGAAAGACTCCACATTATGGACTGAATGTTTGTATCCCCTCAAAATCCTTATGTTGTGATCACATGCCCCTGAAGGATGGTATTAGAAGGTCAGTGATTAGAATTAGATGAGTTCATGAGGGTAGAGACGTCATGAATGTGATTAGTGCTCTTAAAAAGGAGACTCCACAAAGCTCCCTAGCTCCATTGGCCATATAAAGACAGTGAGAATTTAGCAGTCTACAACCCAGAAGATGGTCTTCACCAGAACTTGACCATGCTGGCACTCTCATCTTGAACTTTCAGCCTTCAGATCTGTGAGAAGCCAATGTCTGTTGTTTATTATGGTACTTTGTTATAGCAGCCTAAACCAAGACACTCCACTACCATAAGTGTCAGACATGAGGAAAATATATATAAAGCTTTGTATTATTTTGGCAATAAAAGGTATTATTTAAAATTTTATCTGGAGGAAGGTTTTTTTATTTTTTATTTTTGGTAATGATATTACTTGATTTTATGATTCACTTCTAGAAATCACATAAAATTAAAAAAAAATTAATGTGGCAGTTCATGATATATTTTCCTACTATGCACACTATACATTTCCTACAATGCTCTTCTATCATGAAGAGTTTCAGTTGGCTATATACATGAAGCTTTGAAATGAACTTAATAGGCCCTAAGACTAAGAAAAACTGATTTCCTTTTGGTCAGTGTTCAGTCCATCCCTCAAAAAAAATTCTAGTGACAGAATACCAGAACATTCAATCTCCTTTCACACTGTTCCTCAGATTTTATTATCTGGAAAAACAGCAAAGGAGAACTATTTCCTGAACACCAATTATATTTGCCAGGAATTGAAGCAGGCACCATGCCCTAAAAGCAACTATTTTTCTAAGTGACAAGTAAATATTGTTTTAGGACATGAAAAGCAGAATTTTAGTATTATTTTAAACAAATTTTACATGTCTTATGAAGTCTAAGATTCATTGAAATAACCGTAAGTCCAGACCAACATTTAAAATTAAACAATGGCTACATGGCATGTTTGAGGTTAAGCAGATTTCAGTGGGGAAAAAAAATATATCCCTTTCTAGGCAAAAGTACATAAGTTAACACATAGTTACTCAGAGACTTTACTCCAAACCACTTACCCATTGCTTTTGTTTCTTCCCTTTTGGCGTTTAGAAGGGAAAATTTGAATTTTGCTCGAACTTCACTTTTTGGGCAGCTGACTAAAAGCAAATATAAGGACAAGTAGTCTTTACTTTCATCATCTAATCCCTTTGGATTTACCCTCAGGCACCTAAAATAAAACAACAAGCTCATATGGAGGAATATAAAACTTAAAACATTCAAAAAAGAGAGAGGCAATGCTGAAATTAGTTGTTAAATCTCATAAATAGCACTCCTATTAAATATCTCCAGTTCTTTATAATTCTCTATACTATTAGGAACTTATTATAAATCTAATATAACCCATTAAGAAACAGTAACAAAACCATAAAGTAGCTGATAATATCAAAAACAAAAATTCAAAACAAAAATCTTACCATTTCATTTTGTCACTGGGGCTAGATGAGAATGTTGAACTTTTTAACACTTCACCCATTTCCTCTCGACAAAAACTGAAGTTATTAATGGTCCACATGTAGGAAAATTTTACTACTTTAACCTAAGAGATTCAGAAAACCACTTTTATAATGATGACTTTTTTTGCTTTTAACTTGTCACGTTAAAATCCCGTGACCTACTTTTTTAACACTTGTAGTAACTCTAACAAAATGCTTTACAATATTTTCAAAATACTATAAAATTTTTAAGTGATATAAAGTAAGGCATTTTTAACAGCATGTACCTGTGTATAACACCAGCTTTCTGCTATAGGACCAGTAGACATATCTCCAGGGAGAGGTGGGCTGGGTTCCCGAGACATTGCCACTTTACTGCACTCTTCCAAGATTTATGCAATATCCCACACAGATGAATACTTTACTACAAAGAAAAGAAGTTCCATTTACTGATCAAAAGATTTGACTGAATCAAGAGGGAGTATTTAAACAGTCAAAAGACAATTAGTTTCCCAAATTTGATTATGAGGGAACGTGCAAGGATTTCATTATTTCAATAATTAAAAAAGAAAAAAAAACATTTTGTACCATATAACACTTAAAATCTAAACAAACTTAATGCTTACAGATATTATTTTATAAAGGTATACTTATCAAAATACCACAAAGCAAAAAATAACATATAGTTTAATAGTAAGAGTATAAACATAAAATCATAAAATAACATGGACGCTTACTAATAACATTATGATTGAGCCTTGAACAAGGTAGGGGTTAGGAGCATTGAACCTCCTGGCAGTCAAAAATGCACATATCACTTTGCCTCCCCAGAAACTTAACTACTAATAGCCTACTGTTGACCAGAAATCTTACTGATAACATAACAGTTGAGTAACACATATTTTACATATGTTATATACTGTATCTTTACAATAAAGCTAGAGAAAAAAGTTATTAAGAAAATCATAAAGAGGGACGCCTGGGTGGCTCAGTTGGTTAGGCAGCTGCCTTCGGCTCAGGTCATGATCCCAGCATCCTGGGATCGAGTCCCGCATTGGGCTCCTTGCTCGGCGGGGAGCCTGCTTCTCCCTCTGCCTCTGCCTGCCATTCTGTCTGCCTGTGCTCGCTCTCTCTCCCTCTCTGACAAATAAATAAAATCTTAAAAAAAAAAAAAAAAAGAAAATCATAAAGAAAATGCATTTACTGTACAATATTTATTGAAAAAAATCTTCATATAAGTTGATCTGCACAGTTCAAACCCATGTTATTCAAGCGTCAACTAATATCTGATTCACCTTTATCTTCTGATATATCAAAAGGATTGCGAAGTTAGAGCAGTCCTGAAAACTACAAATATTAGTCACTCATCTGTCTAAGTTTTGGTCAAAACACAAGAGTAGAAACTAACAAGCAATATTTTATGTGAAGAATAACACAGATTTCCACAGAAGTCTACCTCTATCTCAGATAAACAGGTCTCTGTTGAAGATTTTGTCCCAATCAGAGTGTCCCCTACCAGATAATATGTACTTATCATAAAATTTCCTCCTAGTTAGCTGCTGTCTTACTACATTCATTTAGACACATAATTAATTCAGCATAATCTTGCCAGGATATTAGTGACTAAAGGATGATTCTTTGCAACGTGTAAAGTCTATAAAAGAAAAGCGAAACTCAAGAGGATCTAAGTGTAGTTTGTAGGTGTGTGGGTGGGGGTGTTTGAAGATTACATTCAAACATAGGCACATCATCCAAAATTCGTAAGAAAATATTTGTTCTGTGTCTACAATGAAACCGTAGTATGAAAAGAAAACAAAGATGGAAGAAAGCTATCGGAAAGATGCACAGAAACAAAAGGACCTATAAAATATATAAAAAAATTTAGAAGTACAAATGAAGAAGCACATTAAAAATCTGCACCAGAAATAAACAATAAAAATACAAAACTACCACTGAGATATATTTCTGTGAAATTCAAAATGAGAAAGAAAATGTTACAAGTATACATGTGTTCCTTTAAAGGAACAAAAATCAAGATGGCCCTATTTTTCCCCTCACTGTGAAATGCCTGAGGGTAACAGGATAATTACTATAGAGTTCTAAGGGAAAAAGAGCTGTAGCACAAGGATTCTACACTCTATCATGTTTTTATTCATGTTTAAAGCAGCAGAAATTCATTTCCAGATGTGTAAAAATACGTAAACCACCTCCAGAGCTATTTGTTAAAGGGATTAATTCATGCAAATTATTTTCCAGCCAAAGTCAGATGAATCAAAAGCAAGAACAGAGACAAAAACTTCCACCATGATGTTAAGTTTTCATTTTTATACCTCTGAACATGTAAAACAAATCTATGTTTTAAAACTTTACAGACATCAAAAAAAAAGTTCTTAGAGCACTGTGACAAAATAAGTCAAATGAATAAAATATTAAGTAAAATTATGAAGTAAGTTATTCTTAAGGCACAAAATCAGTAGAAATCTACAAAGGAAGGGGTGCTATTCATCTGATCCTTAGATCAAGAAATAGCTACTTCAAATCAAAAGCCAGGTTTGTGGGGAAAAAACTCACTAACTTAAATGATTTAAGGTTTAGTTTAAAGGAAAAGAACCTGACAAATTAATTATAATTCACTGAACCACTGAAAACTAATTCATTCAAAAACAAAACATGGGAAAAAATAAACTAAATGAATTACTAAGTAAGTCAATAAATGACAGTAAATGAAACTAAAAGAAAAGAGAGAAAGAAGGAAAGTAATTTTTATGCAATAGCTGAAAATTCTTCAACTAGATATGGGGAAAATCTGTTATGTCTTATGCTCTGAGAGTTGATATCTGAGTTGAGAACTAAAAGGTAAGAAAAACAGCAAAGACAAGTCAAGGAGAAGGTGTGTGTAAGAGAAGAAAGAGCAGCCATTGTCAGGTCCCTAGGGCAAGAAAGAATCTGAGAAAATTTAAGGAAAAGAAAGGAGTCATGTCACTGATGGATTTTTTAGCAGATTAACAATGTAATTTAGATAGTAGTAAGATCAGAATTACAACTTTTCAGGAAATAAACTGAATAAAAGCAAGAAAACAAATTGGAGGGTATTAAGAATTGTATGGCAAGAGACAATGACAACAGACTAATACAGCGTAACAGTGGAGGTGAGGAATGTGGTCCTGTCAACTGAAATAAGTATTAAAAATAAAAAGAATTTTTAAAAAATTAAAAACACAAAAATCAACAGAATTTGTGATAGAATAAAACTAAAGGAAGGATAAATCAAAGATAGGTTATAGCTTGGGACTGGTGGAATGGGGAGGATGGCAATGCCATATACTCAGATGGGAAAGACTGAGACCAAAGAGTTAATTTTGGGGTGGATAGGGGATGCAACTTCATTAAAGTGGTATGTGCAATGATGAAAATATTTCAAATGAAACAACTTTAAAATTAATCCTTTATGAGTAAACTGTTTGTGTCATTTCTCCTTTAAAGTATGACAACTAATAACACTCACACAAATGTACTTATATTTGTACAAGTTCCTCACATACAAGAGTTCTTGTCACGTGATGTATCTGAAGCACAGCAAAATGTGAGAATCACCAAAATATCCAGCAAGAAAGTCAGAATAATAACACTGGGATTATTCTATCAGGAGTACTTAAAAATCACAACAGCATTAAAGGAGAGGTTAGGGAAAAAAAAAAAAAAAAGTGGATGTTCCTTAACAAAACAAGCAAAAATAGGGGCACCTGGGTGGCTCAGCCGGGTTAAGCATCTGCCTTTGGTTCAGGTCATGATCCCAGGATCCTGGGACAGAACTCTGAGTCCCTCTCCCTCTACTCTCCCCCTGCTTGTGCGCTCTCACTCTGTCAAATAAAATCTTAAAAAAAAAAAAAAAAAAAAGCCAAAATAGCGATGAATGATGGCAAACAGCATGCCTCAAAGAAAAGTGAATATGTAATTTAAGAGCATTGCCCATTGTCACTTTAACAAGAATTTCTCATTTATGCATAAAACTTAGGTACTGGTCTTAAATACCTCCAAGTTGTCACCTTCAACTGCTTTTATAAAACACAGATGGTTATTTACTTTTATCTGAAAGCAGAACATAAGACAAGCACTCAAAACACTAAGTTAAGATCACTAACAGTCACTTTAAAGATAATAGTTCTCCCTACATATTTAACAGCTTTATTAAGGTATAATTTACATATCACAAAATTCACTCATTATAGGTGAATGATTTTTAGTGAATTTATACAGTTGTGCACTCATCAATGCAATACAGTATTATAATTCTCCTATGATCCCCAAAGGTCCTTTGTACCCCCACATTTAGGCAACCACTAAAATCTGCTTTCCATAGTTATACCTTACCTAGATGTTCCATTTAAATAGAACTGTATCATGTGTAGTTTTAAGTCTGGCTTCTACTGTTTTTCCTGAATGTGTGTTATAGTTTCCTATTTCTTTGCATATCTCATAATTTTTGGCTGAAAGCTGGACAATGATTAATATATTGTAGTAACTCTGAATTCTGATTTGTTTTTCTATGGATTTTTGTTTTCTTTTTAGTAACTTGCCTGGAATTAACACTAGTATCTGTTGCCACCATACTGTGTGGGTGCTGATGTTCCTCCTGGCTTTTTATTACCTTTTTTTTTTTTTTTTGGGTCTAGTTACTTAGCAAAACTGCAGGCTGTTCCCCTTCCTTCTGCTGAGTCTGTTACTTTTAGTTGACTAAACTACAGGTTCCCCACCCTCTGGCCCCAAATCAAATCGACCTAATCTGGTGGCAAAACTGCTGTTTTCCTGGCTAGGCCCAGACTGAAAAAACTGCCACTGTTGTTTACTGGGCTTGGAGTGGAAATATGAGCAGAAATATGAATTGGATATTTCTCTTAACCAAATTCAATTAATAAATGTACTAAAAAGAGTAATGATTATCAGAGATACCTGTTAGAAATATGTGAAAGGGCCCTATCCTAGTTAATACTTTGTCAGCTGCTCTAAAGCAAGCTGATAAAACCATTATGAACAATTTCAAAAACACAAACCAAGAAAAATATCTGCACTGTATTACATCATGAGGGGTTAATTTCCCCAGTATGTAAGAAATTCCTAAAAATTAGAAAAAGAATACAAATAATTCACAGAAAAAGAACTTTTCTCATTATTGGAGAAATACAACTTAAAAGAAAATTAAGAATTTATTTTTTAACCTATCAGACTGGCAACAACAATCCAAAAGATTCATACATTTCTAATGGGAATATAAATTATAAAGCTGTTTTAATAATCACCCTTCTTATTTTTTTTTAATGGTGAAATTCCTGGCAAAAGAGAAGGAAATAATGCTAATAAAAAAACCTACAAATTTTATTTTAAGTATGAGAACACCTATGGCATTATTTGATGGCCCTGAGAACA